CCAGTTGTCAGGTGAGAATTGACTCTAATGATTTTTCCCGATTCGGCGTCTGGTATCTGCAAAGAATGACTGGGCGATACATACATTTTAGTCAATAGAAACTGATGATTTTAATCGTAAGAGGGGTTCTGTCTTGGTAGGTACACACGGTACGTGTAGGGGACACCATCGGACGTAACAAAACCCAGTGTTGTAACTGCTATTATACAATTCATATATCAAAACGGTCACGTTAATTTATAAGTAAAATTATAATTTAAAGGAAAATGATCAATACATAGGTCGTTGGTGACCGGATTGCGCAGGTGATGATGCACTCGCCGTTTCACCAAGGCGGCCGGGATTCGATTCCCCTATTGGACATAAATAGGAACGGTGGCACCTGCCTAAACACGTGAGTTTTCTGTGGGTACTCCGGTTTCTCCCACATTAAGACCCCCCGCGCTTATAGCCGGGCCAACAAGTGCGATTTTTATAATTTGAAATAACTTGTATACTTAATATTATCTTAATATGTCAGTTTAATACCGGCGCATCAACTTATTCGAAGATTTATTTTTTACGGCTATTGAACCCTAGAGAATAAATAAAACCGGGATTCGAAAAACAAATCGACGGCAAAATATGAACAAAGGAAGTATTTGCAAAGAGAAGCTTGAAAAGGGGCAAGAATAAAAAAAAACGATATTGTGTTCTATAAAGGTAAGCACCTTCTGTTTCATTGACAATGCCGCCATTGTCATCTGGGTCGAGTTCCTGTTATGTCACGTGCAATGTAATTACAGAATAACGGATGCAGTAATGTTAACAAAGTACAAGACCTACTAATGAACCAAACAAAATAATCGATTTTTATATTACACAAAGAAATATAATGTTTCCCAATATGATCATAAAGACGGCCATAAAACTTTACCCATAATCTTCGCGCTGCGGTATAAATGAGTTCGTCAGCTATCACGGACGTCTATGCATTTAGAGCAAGCCCTACATTATTTTAATGCATAGCAGAGTTTATACACTCAGTAACTATGTTCTGGTATTAAAATCAAGATTAAACCTAACAATATACAAGATATATAGACGCAATCATAACCTAACTCATTAACTTACTTGGAAATATTTTCTATTAATTAGTAAATTAAGAAAAAAAAAAATCTCCTGTTTCTCCGGTTTTCCTCGGATTTCAAATATAAGCTAACCAATCCAAACAAAATTAGCGTCAGCACAGAATGAGTTAAAAATGTTATTACTGATAAATATACCGTACTTACAGCGGGTTCGAAAATGTGTGTCAATCTCATCTTCATGTACAATGAATGCACTCGGTATACAGTGCGGTCGATTTTTGTTGACATGCGTGATTCGCATTCGCTATTCTTCTTGTTTTGTTCAACATGAATACTATGCCGTTTCATAAAGCATTGTGCCTCCATTCGGGACCTGCCCCTGCTCCCAAAGGTAATTATATTTGTACTGAAATGTCTATCAATGTCTTTCTTAATTTGATTTCATGAGCATTCATCGAGTTTTAAGTACATGACCGACATCAGTGAGTGACAGGAACCCGACGGAAAAAAGGCCACGCTCCATGCACTGGAATAGTGATATGGAGTTATTGCAGAATAAGGTTGCTTTCCTATGCCCCGATTGTTCGTATATTTAAAAAAAAAAAAAAAAAACGTGTTCTGATTACCAAGGTAATATTTAAGCTAAAACGGTTCAAATGCTAAATCAAATTTATTCAAATTTAGCTCATTTCATAACTTTATAATAAAGTCAAATGAAAAACCATAGAATTTTGATAATGAGTAACGGTTTATTTTCCTATTTAGTAAAGAATACCGGGCTTATTCACAGGTAAGGCTAGTCCGAATTATTCTGACGTTTTATCGACTTATTTTTTTATATCGGTCTGTCGTCGATTAACGTCAGAACTTCTCCGGCCCTCTATAATATGCGGAAAATAAGCGACCCGCGCCTGGGTCGCACTTCAAACTTATATTTTAGAAACAAATCGTCACTTTCACACACATGTCGCACCCATTTGTTTCTAAAATATAAGTTTGAAGAACGACCCAGGCGCGGGTCACTTATTTCCCGCATATTATAGAGGGCCGGAGTTCTGACGTAAGGCTTGTTGTCAAGGACGGAGTAAGATCACTGTGATGGTTAAAGACAGAGCATAGATAGAAAGAAATATTCATGGAAGCATAATGAGATATTAATTTAAATGTTAATAATTGGAAGAACTTAGTGTCCGATCTTGAATGAAAGATTCACGGCAAGAAGGGAACAAGAATTCTACCTGAAAAACAAGGTTTTGGTTTTGAACGACCCATTTTTAAATGTAGCGTATTTTCGAGATATGTTGGGCTGCAAGAAATCAAAGGCTTTCATTCAATACCTTTTTTTTTGTTTATCACATTTATCATCGAGATTATTATCCAGTATATGAACTACCTTAGATAAATGAACCGGCTTCAATTTTATTTTTTGTTACTGCACAAACTATTGTTTTTGCAGAGTTATCTTCTCTTGGGAGCAGGTATTGATTGTTACGTCATTGGTTTGTGCGAGAAAATTACGTCGTTCTCTCAAAAATTGATGACGTTACTCTCACAAAAAGTGACGTAACAATCACTCCCTGTTCCCAAGAGAAGATAACTCTGCAATACGCAAAGACGGAATTGCAACTGCAACAAATTATGTCTTACAAAAGGAGGTTTACGGTTCCTAGGAAAGGTGCATCCTCTCTCCTTCGTATTTCTGGTTGTAATTGTATGCAACAATTAGGTTGACTCTGTTAATGGACTTCCAGTCCCCAAGGTTGGCAGTTATACCTTGTAGCTGGTATTTATTCTCACAGGCTTTACATGTGAAAACTAGTTAAATTATAAACGATTGTTTTAGTCTACAGTTATAAATACATGTGCTACAACATCATAAAGGGTTATTAGACATGTTCCCTATTTCATTGAAAATAAATATCCTTCGGAACACTTTAGACATGGACTTTTTCATATTTTGAACTCTGTCAACACTGATGAGTCCGAAATGAACGAATTTTGCATACGGTACATTGAAATGTTTACTTTATTTTGCTCTATACATCTACAAATACAATTTTCAAATAAATACATTTTTCTTCATATTTCTAGTGATAATCTGTCGATAAATGTATGAGACAAGGAACCATTTTCAACACATTAATTAAATCATGTAGTGAAGACGATTTATTTCACACATAGTTTGCACTTTGTCGGTTAACGTGTTGCTTTATCCAACACTAGAACTTAATTTTCCTCAAAGTGCATCGTGACTTCATCGTGTTCGAGGAGATGTCTGGATCGTCGACGGTGATATGAGGGCCAAGGAAATTGAGTTCCGATATTTATTCTTCCCGTCCTCCTTTCTTACCAGTAAGGTGTTATAGAGGATGGTTTTCCTTGTTTTCTGTCGTCGTAGTATTACATTTCTAGATATACAGTGTTTTAGAAAACCTTCGTACGTAACCTAATAAGGATGAGGCGGACATCGCATTTGTAAAGGTTGAAAAACGTCCTTGGGAAGAAAGAGCTAATACTGGGTTGTCTTGACACGAGTGTACCATACTGGTGTGGATATATCTGTCTTTAATCAGTTACCGTCTCGTCTCAATATCGTTAAGTGCAGACTGTAAGTTGTTGTTTCTGATTAAGATTCTTCGTGAACGCTTTTCTTCACACACGGAGTTGTGACGTCACACATTTTTGTAACTTCATTTTTTTTTAATTTTCGCTTTTATTACAAACTGAATCGTTGTAGCTTCGATTGACAAAACACATATTCATGCATTTTTATTATAAAGCTGAATTACTATGAAACAACTTAATATTCAATTTCAACCTTAGATAATCGGAAAGTAAGAATTCAATATTGATACAATATAATAAACGTTATACTACAGAGTCAAAAATGAGGATCAATACCAGATCGCAAAATCAATAAGAAAAAATGTCGTCATCAACCCCAATAAACTTCGGAGGCGAAATAAGGTAATCTACAAAAGTAAGTATCGCGACACCCAATATTGCCTCCGTCAGAAATATCTTTTTTTTTTTTATAAATCATTCAATCCACCAAGGAAAATAATTATTACCCTTATCGGCCAATTGTTAGTGTCTCTGTTGTTAGAAAGTACATTTTGCTACGTTTGTTTTAACATTTACGATGGGATGCAACAGATTTGCGTTCAAACATATCTTTAAGATCATGGGTGCATTTCAATCCTATATAAAGATCGCCTGACCTATCTTGCACTCTGGTGATCTCCTGTTTGGTGTACATAGATATATTTGACTATATATATATATCTTCTCGAGTGCATTGTCTGAACACCAGTTGTCTAGCACACATAACGCATCGTATCAAAACAAAGCGGTTCGAGGTATCACATGAGTGGAGATTAATCACTATAATCCCTTGTACTTGATGAATAATACATTGCACGATGTATTGTATACTCCAGACGTTCACGTGCGACGTGACGAGCACTCAGACTGGTGCGCGTGCTATAGTACAGACAGAACTGATTAACGTGTGTTTGGATGAGGGAACACAGGAGAAAATGTTTGAGTTATGTATATGATTAAAAACAAAAACACAGAAATATATACCACATCGCTTACATAACAAATAATATAATCAATGCGGAAATGAAATATCAACAGGGCCAGAGTAAAATATAAACAAATTCACAAAGCGATATATATAGCCAAGTCACACATAATCCCTCCAAGGTTCTTAATTATAGAAAAGTCTTAAGAATTATGTAATTCCTGCTATACAGGAATGAAATTGTGAAATAAGAAAAAAGAAAAAAAGAAAATAACGAAGCACTTAACAATGTTAAGGTAAATATATTTTTTAAAGAGCATCAAACAAATGATTCAAATTTGTATTTACGTCAAAATCGTCATAAGAACCCGAGGGTTAAAATGAAATGACCAATCACTTACTTGAACTTGAACTTTCCATCTTTGAAGCCGAAGAACGGGACTGTATATGTCATCATCCATATGTAGCCGCCTCCGCAGTCAAAATAAGGGCGTGACCAATGGCCATCGTCATAAGTGGACGTGATAATCGTGTCCGTCACGGCCTCGAGATGAGTTGTCTGGTTAAATCGAGGCTCTGTAGTCCCTGAACATATAATAAGCATACATGTCAGCATTAATCTTACCTAAAAGCTGTATTTTTATCTATAAATGTTACATAAATTCAAGAGGGTTGGATATTTTTCAACAGTCCAAAGATTGTCGCAACCTGTTCATTGTGATGGTATTTAATAAGGTGCTTTGATACGCCCATTGTTTTCGATATTTAAAGGTTCCGCGCCTGATATACATATCTTCTATGCATCATCGGAACTGCATTGCAGTAGAAAGTGTCTACCTGCATTTAAATGAGGGGTTTGGGAAAGGATGAAGCTACAAAAATATTCCTTTTAGAAACGTGTACCAATAAAAGACGAGACATCCTAAACTCCTGCACAAAGTAGGCATAGTACAAACCGTCAACTGCAGTCATTTTTATCTGATGAGGTGGCGCATATTATTTTGTTTTTATTACTCCCAAATATTTCTTATCTTCCATTGAAAGCGTTTTTTTATTGATTTGCACCAGTCATGACAAAAATAGCAACGGCAAGTTAACAACAGTTCATCACACCAATTGAACTCATTCGTGTTATTTTCTTACTGATTGACTTAAGGTAGAGTAGTCGGTTCAAAATTATTTTAAAATGCTTGGTCTTGAAGCAGTAATCGTTCCAATCAGCACTTTATGTCGTTCATGAATGTTCATTACCCATTTCTACGAGTAACCTTTCTAATACTGACTTCATAAAGAAAAAAATATGGATAGAATGAATAAAATATGTCTATGAAATGAACACATTTCAATTTTAGAGACGGCGTAAATAATTGCATTTTTTCAAATATTTCGGGGATTTTCTATTACATACTACTTCCTAAACACCATTATAAACCATTTACCGTGCACCATTATTAACCATTAAACCCCCATTATAAGTCATTTATCATAAAGGAATGACGTTTGAGATAATTGCATTTCATAAAATTTACATGAACTGAAGCTCGTATCAAAAGCAATACTGTGAACAGTCTCCTGTATGTCTATAAACTAAATAAATATGAACGTACGTACCACCAGTAAATTGCAGTTTTGAAAATTTGGTAATAAATACAGTATGCCGAAAATGAATTAAACTGTATCATACTACTGTTTCGTCCGTCTAGGACTCGTAGGTGATGTTCGGGATCAACCAGTAGGAAATCTAAATTGTTTCTAAACTATTGTTAAAACAGAAGGGTTAGGCGTAAAACCCCTGAATATATTAATTAAAAAAATTCACGCGAGTACTGGTTAATTTCAAATTAATTAATCGGTTAAGTGTGTATATTATGAACTGTGCCACTACTCAAAAGAGATAACTGTGGCCATCAAGGTTACCGAGAACCTCGGGGACTACAGCAACCCTCGGGGACTACAGCAACCCTCGGGGACTACAGCAACCCCTGGACTACAGCAACCATCGGGGACTACAGCAACCCTCGGGGACTACAGCGAACCTCGGGGACTAAAACTTACACTGTACCACACAGCAGTTTCGTCCTTCAAGGACTCATCGGTGATGCTAAGGGAACAATATTAGAATAACAATTAATTTCTGCTGATGGAGCTTTACATCGAAGTAAAGGTGATCCACTAAAGTACAAATAGAGGTTGTTATATGTTATACACTGTACCTATCATGTGTAATATTTTTTCAATTAGGGTTTATATAGGCAATATCAAACATATGGGTTCTTTTGACGTCGCATACGAGGGGCGTTATTCCAAGTGAAGTATATCCATACACAAAATAAATTCCTTTTATAACATACTGACAATTGTTCTTTATGTGCCCATGTTACATTTTGGGGTATTTTTCTGAGAAACATCTATAATCATTATCTCGTGTAAATGTTTAGTTTGCCTACCAAAAAACATGCGCCGTACGACAAATACGGACAAAACGACGTCGAGGATGAAGTAATTGTATTTAGTAACCATAGTATAAGATGCTGCTTTAATGGTTGGAAACCGTTCTTGTTTCGATTTTGTTCAGTGAATGAAAACAAATGAGTTGCAATAAAAAAAGTGTTTTCGTTACTTGGTTAATATAACCAATGTGTAATACGGACTCTTTTTTATCTAACGACCCTAAATTAGCAGTTAAACTGTAGTACAATTCAGGTGGTAGATGACGAAAAATTAGTTGTCAACTATGGACATTTTTCAAGGTGAATGTGTGGTTGTATGGACCTGAAATGGGATATATTAACGGGGACGAAGTCGAGGTCTTTCGTCTCGGTCAATATAACGTTCCAGATTCATATAACCACAAAATTGACCTAAATATAAGTCATTAATTGCTATATTAGATATAAATGTATACTGGGTTTCTTTGTTATTAAACCAGTTGGAAAATAACAAAATCGTCAAGTGAAAAGAACTACATTTGGCATAGAGAATTCTGGTGTTACACCTTAAGCGATGCCATTAAGATAATATATTAAAATGCTGTTTCTAAAACAAGTAATTCGGAGTCAACTTCACAAATCATCGACTTCCACTCCACGTGATTAAGAGCCAGCCAATGAGGATGTAAGAATAAGTTGTGTAGTATAATAGGTTTTGACTGGCAATGAACACAGTCAGGTAATGCAGTGTAACAGGCTAGGGTTAACAGGTGAACAAGAGCTATGAAAGTGAAAGAAAATAGAAAATCGGGAATTTTTAATATTTCCAATGGGTGCATTTCGTTTAAAATTTTCTGCCTGCTTTTCGCAAAGGATTAAGAGAAAACAATTTTGCCAGTGTTCGCATATTAGTCACATCGGCTGACCATGTAGCGGGATACAAAAACAGTGATAAATTGCACTTGTGACGGATTCCTATACTCAAAGAAGGTTGTTAGAAAGCAGAGGATTTCAAAAATACGTAAATGTGAAATGGTTAGACACAAATATGTTAACAATACAGTGGAAAGACAGGGATATAAATCATTGCATATGTATGACTATAGTCAACCTATCATTTCCTCAAACCTACGTATATGATTTGGGGGAAAACAGCACCGCAGCACGAAACATGCCTATGTCTGCGAGATAATTGTCTGGAGTATTGCCACGGGTACAGCAGATCACGATTGATCTTTCAAGCGCTATCGGAGGATTGCAGTAGCACTGCTAAAAATCAAATGTGCATCAGAATTTTTGATTGTTTTTTGATATATGACGTTAGGTTTAATAAATCATTTGACAATGAAGCAATGACTTGTCTGTTATTATTTATGAAAAGAATAATTAAGATAAGAAATAAGTCTTATCCGTGTTTAAATACCAGGCCTGGATTCGAACCCAACGCATTGGAACATACTGTTGCACTGAACGACTTACGTAAACACAACAGTCCACATGCAATACAATCATACACGGAACAAAATTTAAGAGAATATTCGAAAATATACAGTGGAATTATATCTAGTGTTTTGCCTGTAGTGGGAAACGTATCTTCAAACAGACAGTACAAAGGAAAGTCTGTCGAATTTGAAGAAAGGGAGGGGTTGGGGGTGGGGCAACATAGGCTCCCTCTAATTATCATTCTTATCTATGTGATCAAATCCTTTGTTGGCTTGTTAGCACTAAAATACGATGGCCGATAGCAGCCAACACAAAACAACTACAATATAAGACATTTGTGTACATGTACACTTTTTAAAAACTGTACATGTACACAATACAACTACAAGTGCTATTAACATTCCTTAACGGTTCGGGTCAACTTAATATTTCACACGTGCCTGATGCGGCGGTGAATTTAAAGACCAAACGACAAGGAAAGGGAATATGTTCATAAATCAGCAAAGAGGCGATAGAGGTCACCACACAGTGTTGCTACGTAGACTGTACAACATATTTCACTAGTTGATGCTTGAAGGCGACTTAATCTCATTACCTGAAAATGGATATACTAGAAAAGTTTGACATTAGTAATTATCAAGTGTTTAATTTTAATCTTTTCTTTGTATGTTGATTGCTCTTATGTCCTATTTTCAGTTTGAAAGAAATGTAACAGACATAAACCATCGTTATACGCATTTCTATGTTGACATTTTCTAATGTATGGATTAGAGTCATAAAGTAGAACGTTGCATTGTTCAGAGTGAGAATAGTTGAGTACTAAAGTCAAATATAATATAATTCTTACTGTAACACAAGTTGTATGTAGATTGTTCTGAGAGAAATAACCAGTGTTTTATACCAAAGGCTTTAGCCTTCAAACTTGTGAATATGTCACATGGAACACTTTAAATTACGTACATGTATTTTGGGTTATTGAGTTAAAATTATAATTCTATATACAAATTAAGTAACTACATGTTTTTGTTTTGTCTCCAACTTTACTCCAAAAATCACATAAAAAATATATGATATTTGGTATATCTCTGATTTGTGACCGTCTGGTATTGTTTGACTTATGGGGAATCCAGCAATTTCTTTTCTTTGTCGTTTATTAGCAGCCGTATCAGACACGTGTGAAATATCAAGTTGACCCGAACCGTTAAGGAATGTTAATAGCACTTGTAGTTGTATTGTGTACATGTACACAAATGTCTTATATTGTAGTTGTTTTGTGTCGGCTGCTATCGGCCATCGTACTAAAAGGCATACGGAATCAAATAGCAGAAATACTTAATACACAGTGCGAATATCACGGGAAATGTCAGTATCCTGCAGTATTACGTTATCATTTCTCTTTTGTCACATCACATTTCTACAGTATGCGTGTGCACTTTGATTCTAGTGTGTAGTTATTTTGAAGAAAACCATTAATTTTTAAGTTCAAATCAAATAAGTACCGTTATTGCTGTAAGTTTCATTACTCTACTATTATAGACATCAAAATAATTAAACTCTATTATGTACGCAACGGTACATTGGCCTTTAACATTAGGCTAAAGAAGGATGTACTGTTACAATCGTTATTAATTGCAGTTCCAATTACGCTCCCTAATGCTAACTGTACATAACAATTCCGCGGGATTTCCAGGCGTAATCATACGCAATGACAGT